ACTGGAAAATGCATTTATTGACTTTATCAATTCTAAAAATTCTGAATTCTACTCAGACGGAATTAATAAGTTACCAACACGTTGGGAGAAATGTATTGAGAGTATGGGAAATTATTTTGATTAAAGAACATTGCTTTAAAGTAACTAGTTTCTTTTTTTTTGTTTAATACCAAAATCCTGCATTATTTTCCGGACAACCCAATATTATAAGAGGTTAAGCCAAGGTTTGAAGGACACCAGAGCTGCTAACAGAGGTTTGGGATTTGATAAAAAGCTTGACCAATATTGGTCTTGGTGCAAAGGTCATGAAGATGCCGGCTCCTAACCTGAACCCCTACTTCAGGTATTCATGCTATTCCATCCTGAGGTATTTTCCAACCTTCGTATTTCATGATGACAATATCACATGGGAGAAAATTGTTTAGTCTAAAATTGGATTCCTTTATTACCAGTTGGTTCAGCTTCTGTGATGACCAACTCGTTATGCAATCCGCTTTTGTGTTTTCCACACTAGCGGTCCTGGGTTCGAAACCTGGTCAAGACCATGGATTTTTGATTGAGAATATGAAAAAAGTATTGCAAAGTGGTTTGATCCCTCGTCCTCAACACCCATGTTTTCCATATTACTTATACTCAAGCTAATATAATTGTTGTTTTAAAAACTTTCGTGGGATACATTTATCACAGAATACAAAATCAAATCCCAGAACCTTCATGATAACAAGATCATATGATCATATATTTCAGGATGGGTCTGGGCTCAAGAAAAATATTGAACAAACTCAAGATGTGCCGGAGGTTAACTCATGGGTAAAAGAACCCATCTTAAAGTTGACACACATTACACCTAGACAGGGTATATTGAACGATGACCTCATTTGTAGGTTATGCTATGAAGAGGAAGAAACTGCCATCCATGAAGGCATAACCTGGGATGACCGGGATAAAGAATTGCAGCAATAATAATCAGTTGAACCTTCTACTTCTTAAAAAACGGATCAAGTTGAAACTGAACTGAGAAGCTAGGAAAAGTACAATAGGCCAAAAGGCTACTGTGCTTGGGGAACACCAAACCCCTACTTCTTAGTATCATCATAATAAATATCATCCTTGCTAGGTCATAATTTCAGTGACGCACAGTACTGAGTGGACCACTTTATTAGATTTTTATTTTTTATTTTTTTTAAGTTACAACTGTTAAATGATTATATTAATTAAATAATAATATGAGTTTGATCCCAATAAAATGATTTGTTTATCAGTGGATTAGTGAAACATTTAATCTGCTTTGTGATTTATTTACACATAACACTCGTTATTTGGAAGTAGATAAGAGGTAAGACAATTTAGACACAAGTTATTAGTAGTTTCGAGATTTTTTTTCATGATCAATTGGCGATTGTGATGAAACAAAATTTATAGTTCATAGATTCAGCAGAAAAATTATCTACTAATAAACAATGGAAAACGAAAAAATGTCTGATGTAATCACCGTTGATCAAATAAACAGAAAAAGGTCTGACAATGCGTTGGGGCAAATAAAATAAAAAGTCCTCTATTGTAAACACCTATTTAGTTTACAAATTTGACAAAAATGTAAGAAAGCGATAAGATAAGTAGAAATGGTTTTGAAAGCTTAGCCTGCAAAATATGTAAATTTTACTGTGTACAGGATTTTTTCCAAAATGAAGTTTTATGTCCTTTGTAAATTACTTCTAGGATCCACTGGTTGACTTTAGGAACATTGTCATTAAAACAATATGACGATCCTTTAGAAATGAAATTGTTTTTCTATTTGTATATTACAATTAAAAAGCTGTCAACTTGGCATAGGATCAGTAATTTGGTTATTACCAAACATCCCGGTGGTCTACCTATCACTGTGAATCTTCAAGGTGTCTGTATGTTTAAAAATCAGCTTCATACAACCTCTGCCATTAAACAGTAAAACTATACTGTCCAACCTGAGATCTATTTTGTATTTGTATACTGTTCTGTACATTGTTCACTACATCCTAACTCTGGTTTGACCATTTTTTTACAACCACCTTGAAAGTCCCCTCTATTAAGAATTTGAGCACTATATTAGATGGAACTTATCTTATTTGTCATTGTCACTACGTCTTGGGGCTATCAACAGCTAGATCATTTCAGCCCCCAATGCGTTTTAAATAATATTCCCTCACGCACTCAGTACCCCCCATCGACTAGTCTTTCCACGTATTAAGTAACTGATCTAATTGAAGGTTGATGAAGCACTCATTGTCGTACATTCACTCTAATAAATATTTTGATACACAAAATCAAAACAAAATCTCAATATTGTATAGAATAAAACAGCTCTCCTTCACCTAATCCCAACTAGTACCTAACCCTACCAGTCATTACCTAACTACCCCCTTATTGGCCTAACCTAACCAGTCCTAAACTCTAACCCAGCATAACTTGCCCTTAACCTACTTGACCGATTCTCCAAATCAGAACAGAGGGCATTCTCATATTGGGTGGTATTCCTACATGCTCTCTATATGTAGCCAAGGAATGTCACCCTGATACATGAACAGCCTAACTTGTCATTAACTTAACCCTAACTAATCTAACCTAAATACTCCTTAACCCTACTTGGCCCAACCTAACCAGTCCCAAACCCTAACCCAGCATAACCTGTCCTTACCTACTTGACCAATCCTCCAAAAATCAGAACAGGGGGCATTCTCTATATGGAGGCAAGGAATGACACCCTTCAATTTTAATGGGTTATATTGAACATTCTGTACATGTTTGACATATACAAGGGCTTTGTCCCAGAAATAAGTGTCTGTGTGTCAACCTCTCGACAATGATCCTTAAGGACCAACCTCAACCATGCACTTCATAGGAGCTTCTCTTTCAATTCGATTCACTGACACCCTTTCCTTTTCATCATTTTTTTTTAAATTACAATTTAGCGCTTGAGGGCCAGATAGGAGTGGTTAGTCCTTAGCCACCTCGTCCGCTTCTTTGTTACCTTGGGGGGGACCCTGGACCACCACCATTTTGCCAAAAACTTACCTTGATAAAAGTATGGCAGAGTGGATGTCTTGGCTAACAAAGTGGAATTGGATTAATTTATTTAGACATGTTATTGCCTTATAATCAAATAAGTATACAGGATTTAGGCTAAAGCTTTATATCCATACACATAATCTGATATTTCTGCTTCTTGACATTTGGCAGGTATTTTGTCACAGAAACGCATCCCAACTTCCAAAGTTGTTACTCCTATTACATTCAGGTGGTTAAAGTTAGCTTATTTATTGTCAAGGTTTCTTAACTTATTTTTTGAGGGTATATGGATTTGCATAAAGTGTTGACAACATCTTCCTCGATACTTTAATAATTTCTTGTTATTAATGATATCTTTTGTTTTTAGATCGATCGATAGAAACTCAATCCTTTCAGATATAACTCAAGCTGTTGGAAACTCCCCGCTCGTGCGCTTGAACAAAATACCTCAAACGGAAGATATTAAGTGTGAAGTTTGTATGTATGGGCTTATCTTCTTTTAAATAATTAAGCTGTCAGATAAATTATAATTATTTCCGTTGTATAAATTTAAAACTTTTTATCTCAGTGGTAAAATGCGAGTTTTTAAATCCCGGGGGTAGTGTTAAAGACAGGATTGCAGTGCGGATGATTGAAGATGCTGAAGAACAGGGATTACTTAAACCAGGGATGACAATTATTGAACCCACTTCTGGCAATACAGGTAATATGAATTTTAATGTATATTTTAAAACAAATATAAAGCATAAGTTATTTCAACCTACATAGTATCTCTTATAGATTTTTTCCCCTGACAAGATAATGGGCCTATTATCCATTATTTTTCTATGTCAGTAATGTAAAATTTCAATTTTGCCACCCAAAAAGTTATGCAGTCACATAAAGATGTTAATAAATAATCAGGAACAACCCAACTACAGGTCTATTACCCCACAAACCGCATGAGGAAATCTCATATGGTACTGGTTATATTTTTAGGACTCGGATTAATGATGGCAGCAGCTGCCAAGGGGTACAAGTGCCTGATTGTAATGCCGTGGAAAATGTCTGAAGAAAAAGTGAGCGCTTTGAGAGTTTTAGGCGCTCAAATTGTCAGAACTCCAACTGAAGCGGCTTTCGATTCACCTGAAGGTCTCATAGCTGTGTCGCAAAAATTGAACAAAGACATTCCAAATTCTATCATTCTCAATCAGTATGTAAATGCTGGCAACCCTCTTGCTCACTATGATGGTACGGCACTTGAAATTTACGAACAGTGCAAAGGGAAAGTGGATATGATAGTCGCCGGCACCGGAACAGGCGGAACGATAGCTGGAATTGGCCGTTTCTACAAAGACAGAAAACTAAATACAGAAATCGTCGCTGTCGACCCTTATGGTTCGATATTGGCTGAGCCGCAAGAGATGAACCAGACTGATGTCACATTTTACGAAGTCGAAGGGATTGGTTATGATTTCAAACCGACTGTTTTAGGTAAAATACAAAACAAACACGTATGAAATAATTGATTTTTTTTGTTAAATATTTAAAATTTACAGATTACTCTGTTGTTGATTCTTGGGTGAAAGTTGGAGATAAAGAATCATTGCTCATGGCTAGAAGACTGATACAAGAAGAAGGACTCCTTTGTGGTTAGTAGTTTGATTATTTCCTATCGAACATTTTATCTTGATTCGACCTTCTGATATGGGGCTACAATAACAGACACATCTAAGGAAATTTTCCTTCCGTTCTATTTACCACTCAATTTTATATTATTTATTTTAGACCAAATAAGATTGTTTTAAAAAATTATTTACTTAGTGTAAAATAAAGGTTATATTCACTGTTCACTGTTTTTCTAGACTGGTGGAAATAGTATCTGTGGATAAAACCTTCAATTTAACCTGTCTTATAGGGCTTTAGAAAAACTAGTGAGAAATTAGCTTCATTTCAATCTAAGTAATTCCTTTCTATATTAATTTATTTTAAGACCACTGAAGATAGCTCAGTAAAAAAATGGTTCTGGAAATATAAATAAAACAGTGGGAAGACATTTGCTTTTAAACAAGCAAATTGAATTTTAAAAGGTTAAACATCGATCAATATGGCGTATTGGTTTTGTTATTACAGCCTTATATGTATTTTGTGAACTAAGGTCTACAGAAGAAATGATCAATAAATTTTTTCAATCAAAACTTTCATTGATTATCACAATGTTGCAGCAGCATGAGGAAATTTTGTTTTCCATTTTTTCCATTTCTTTTTCTTCTTCCACTGTTCAGCCCCTGGCGTTATTTATTTATTGTTGTTCGCTTCAACTGTCTGCCCCTGGTTTGTTACTAGACCTACCCTAGGCGATGTATTTATTTTTTTTTACTTTTCTTATCTCCAAATGCCCTTTTTGGCATGGGGGATCATTTTTGTACAACATAAGTTTTATCTGGTCAGTCCTTTTTAATCCATCCAATGTCTACTGGAATGTTTCTTTTTTGTAAATGTGATTTTTTTATTCTTTCAACAGGTGGTAGCAGTGGTTCTGCTCTCGTGGGTGCCTTGAAGGCATGCAAAAAGCTCAAAGAAGGTCAACGTTGCGTTGTTATCCTTCCCGATGGAATAAGGAACTACATGTCGAAATTTGTCAAGGACGAATGGATGAAACAACGCGGGTTTGTAAAAGAATAAAATTTTGAGTAAGTTGTTTTTTCAACCTGTGGTTACCATTGTCATTAATCTTCTCCATCTCAGACTCAACCTAATTTGTCCAGTTTTTTGCATATTTTATCGAAAGAAAAATTTTTACAATGAAATAACAGTGTTGTGTTGATCTGTGGAATATTGGGGTAGTTTTTTATGAATAAATTGAATAAATTGAAAGAGTGAATTTTTTTATAATAATGTATCTTGCGTTTACACAAAGTTATTATTTTTAAAAAAAGTTGTATAATGATGTGATTTTCAATGCTTTTTACAGGTTAAAATATTAACACTCTCCATGTCATAAATTAAAACAATGAGTTCACAAGCACACTCAATAACAATTTGAAAATATTGCACTGTTATTAATTTGGCAATTACAGAAAATTTTCTTCCCATCTTCATCAAGGGAGTCATACCGACTTCCTTGAATTTTCTGTTTGAGATCACAACAAAAGCTGATAGAGATTTCCAAACAAGCTGCAAAAATGTATGCCTTTCGTATATTGAAAGTACCTGTCGTTTTATAATAAATATACTTTAGTTAATAATAGAAAATATAATTGTATTAAATATTTTATTATCAAAATATTAATTTTCCCTGATTACATGAAGACATCACATGTTGAATAGGAATACAATTTTTCCCCTCCCTTTATAATTAAGGTCACAATATCAAAACCATTATTTTGTTGTATAATTTATATTTCTTAAATTATATTATCAAAGTAAGCTAATTATGTACAAAGCATGACATTCAAAATGGTTGGGAAAAATATTTACAATACAACTGACAACAGTTATCGCATGACCCTGTAGAAATATAAATTGTGGATATAACCTCCATTTCACCTTTTATAATTAATTTTAAGGCAGCTTAAGATGGTGTAAGAAAAATCATTTACTTGAAATGAAGGATAGTTTTTAAAAAAAATATTTATGAGAAAGTAGAGGTTATATTCGCTGTGGTATGTCCAAACTCCCAGAAATATAACCTCCATTTTACCTATCTTTTAGGCTTCTTGAAAAACATCAGTGAATATAACTTCAATTTTTTTAGTCAATTAGTTTTGTTTGTTTTTTAGATTCAACAACAGTACTTTGCTTTGTGCTGAACATTCCAACTTTATCCATGAACAGTTTAGTTTGGAGAGAAAATGGTATAACCCAATTCATTTTAGCACTAGAGCTGAGAAGTGTTGTTTTGCGCTTTGTAATCTTTGGTGATGCTTAAATGATTTTGTATAAATTAATTTCCATTGTTGTTATTAATGAGCATCTTAGCTTTTTGCTTCTTGATAAAATCTCGTGCGAGTTTTTCACCTTGGCGATGATCGATAGCTTTCATTGACTTGGATTCTGAAGAAAATTGTTAACAAAATTAAATCATATTTTTTCAATTCAAAGTACTTTGAAAGTAATACACAGACACTTACCGAAACTACTCGGTTTTGTCAGTTTGAGGTGGACTTGACTCATTTCGTGGACTGAAGTTTCCATCGTTGTCCTTGGAATGTCATTGAATGGAATGAATGTTTCAGCGACGAATTGGGCCGAAACGCCAAAAAAATCCTGATCCTTGACGACAAAATGAACCAGGGCATCGGGTGTTTCAAACTGTTCCCTTGTTAATTGTCTACAAAAAGAAAAACATTCACTGTTCTTCTTTTTATTGATTTACAGCAGGAGGGTACAGATGTGGGATCATGGAATTTAACAACACATTTTCTGGTGATACTACTATAGGTTAAACTTATAGGTTATATTTATAGATTATATTTCCTGGGGTCTAGGGAAAAAAAGTGACCAATGAATAAGTCTTCCATTCCAACATAAGTAAATGGAAAAAAAAAATGGAGCCATCTTCAAAGTTGACTTAAAAAGAATTTAGAAGAGCCTAAATATATAACTTCCAGTTTAACCTTCTTGTAATGGAATACATGAATGGTTTAATGCTTAAAAAATACCACACAAAAAAATTAAACTCATAACTTCTACCATTTTCAAAAACCTTTTGTCACTAACAAACCTTTGAACTTACATGGAAAAAGTCTCGTCGAACAGCGGGAAAAGATTTTTCTTATGTGACTTTGTCCTCGGTCTTTCAACATTGGCGAATTTTTCTTCGGGCAATAAATTTATCTTTACATAAGGATCACACGAACCTGTACATAAATAGTATTTTAAAATAGTTTAATGTAAGTTTTTTTTTCTTCAAATATAGCGCACCGTTAGAATCATGAGGCATCAAGTTGCGTGCGTTCAATATTTCCACTCTGAGAATATAATTTGTGAACTGAACTTTGACTGTAAGAAGGCCACACGAAGGGCTGTCGGGTGATCTTTGATTGTTCAGTCTTTCTAGGTAGTACTCATGAATTAGCCTGTCGGTTCCCATACCGTGCAATTTGAGCAGTTGCTTTATATGAATATAACTGTCATTCTTTTCAACATTCTCTGTCTGCTTGAAAAAGCCCACTAAAATATTCAGCGTGTTGTCCAAATTGTCGAAAAATCCTGGTGGCCTTCTCTTCTAAAAATTATAAATACTAATTTAAAAAATTATTACTGTAACCTGTTCTCACGGTATTTAATATTTTGCTTGTTTTCTTTACACTTAACCATCACCAAAATATTTGTTTGACTGAACAGTGAGTATAAGAGGAAAAGGATGATCAAAAACTTAAATAATTTTTCTTTATACCTCCAAACTGTCTTGAACCACCTCCATTAAAATGTCATACACACTGTCCCATAAAATGTTAAGAATCCTGTCAAAATTATCCGGTGATAAATTTTCATGTAAGGCCATTAAATTTCCATCTAGATATTGCATAAGTCTTTCAACGTGATTGTTCCCCTGGTAGATCAATTCTGCACCCTCCAGTAGAAACCTTTTGATCGAAGGTCTCATCTAAAATTTTAGAAAAAGTATATATTTTCAGCATCATCAGCGATTTCAACTGATTTGTCACCTTAAGCGCCATTCTTTCCAATAAATCAATGATTTTTGTGCAGACAGTTTCGACAGCGTTTTCAACCACTCGCAGTAGTGTTTCTTCGCATTTCTGTGCAGACTTTTCATCATTGCTATCAGAGAGTTTTTTTATTATGTCCTCAGTGCCCAATTCGCTAACAAATGGTTTAATAGATTGTCTTACATGGTCAATACTGTTTATGGCCAAACACCACTTTAAAAAAAAAATTGCATTAATTGCATTCACAATAGCCAGAAAAATAAATTTTACCATACCTCATTAGTAACTTCAAATTGTTTCCCATATGCTGATTCCGTCTCTCCTATTTTTTCAACTTTGTTTCCCATTTTATCAACATAATAAACAGAACAGCGGCAGATATCCTGAAGAATGGAGATTATGGCATAATTATAGTATTAGTTGTTTTGTTCTTAATTGTCAATAGTTATGAAATTTGGGTGTTACTGATCATTTTGGTCTGTCTATCCATGCTGGATCGGTCCAGCGTTTTGCTTGCCATCTTCAGATGTGCATGACATACAATGCCGGCCAAGATGATCAGTAACGACCGAATTTCAAGTTCATCACCCCGCAGAAAACAGAATAATTAATTGAAATAAGTGAATATAAGGTTCATTTCAATCTCATTGTAAGTAATTTTTTCTTGAGTTCTTTCTACATTAATTTTAAGATTACTGAGGATGGCTCAGTAAGAAAACTGTTTCTGTTAAATTAGAAAATTATTTTGTTTAAAAGCTTAAACATTGTGCATTGGTTTCATTATTATGGTCCTATGTTTTATAAACTAAAGCCCATAGATGATGCCCATGATCAAATTTCTTCAAACAAAACTTACATCTATTATCTTATTTACAAATGTATAGGATCCTTCGACATCAGGCCATGCTAGCTGTGTCCAAAATATTTTGATCTGAAACAATTTTGAATGAATAGGTTGTTTTTTTAAAAATTTTATATTTTAAACGTAAGATTGTTTTATTACCTGATAGAAAATGAACAGAGTGTCGGTGGAAGATGAGGAATGCTTTGTCATACTGTCCACTGGAATTAGCTTGTCCAGGTCGACTGCTTTGTCTATCCTCTGCATAGCTTTAAAGACTGCAATGTCCAACCACTGTACGACACCTTGGTGAAACCAGTTGTGGAAACTTTTAAGTTTAAAGGTGGAATTTTCCACAGGGAGCATTCCTTTGCCAAGCCTGTACAATAATTAGTTATAAAATTTGTAAGAACCTCTTTTCCTCTACAGTACAACAATGAACATACGCTAAACATCTCTGCAGGGCGATGTACAGTTCAAAAAGTGAAGTGCCCATTGCCAATGAGGCGTTTTCAGTGCTGTCCATATCTGGAACGTTACCTCTGAATCTGATCGGTTTTAGGGATGTGCAAATATCAATTACTAATGGTTCGACCATTTCAGCAATCTAAAAGTAAATTTTTCTTTACTTAAAAACTCGTTAATTTTAGTTTTATGGTTTCTTTACCTTATCATCATAAATTACAAATAGTTCCTTTGAGTATTGCATTTTTAATTTCCTAAAATTTAATATATCCAATAATATAATTGAGTGAAAGGTAATTAGTAACTAATAATTAATATTGCTCACAAGTAAAAAGCTTTGTCAAGTGACTCGATACTCTTTTGTATGTCTGTCTTGATGGACTGTACAACCTTAATCGCCTGCTGCAATTTGCTTTCCTTGCTGTTTTCCATTAATTTGTTGTTCTCCACCAAGTGCTGGAACCTGGCAAATATATTTTGTATTATAATCCATTTAAAATAAATATGTTAAATTAGTACCATTCCAAGGCAGATTGTTTAATAGCCTCATTGAGAACGAAGGAAATATCATTAATCTTTTCACATGGGATCCAACCGTACACAGATTTTGGGAACAGTTCAATATTGTCTGGCTGATCTAATTTCAGAAGTTCGGCTATTATGCTAAACAAACCATTGTTAACCATTTTAAGAAAATAAATCAACAATAATAATGTTTATTACTTTAACATTGAGTCTAGTTGTGAATTTACAGTCTTTTCAGCTTGGGGTACTTTTCTGTATTTACGGAGGTTTCCAAAAATTGATGGCAGCAGTCTTTTAGTTCCATCCCAAAATAATCTTATCTGAAAAAAATTAAAGTGGCATGCACATTTAAACAAGTGTATACATTTTTCGTTATAATGTTAAATAATTTTTAGTGATACCATTTGTACTCATTCATTCCATGTTACTGCAGGAAGTGTGCATGGTTAAGTTAGATTACGTTGTATTAGGCTTAAGGATGTTTAGGATAGTTTGGATTGTGCTATGGATGGGATAGGTTAGTTATGTAGGGTTAGGGTTAAAAACAGGTTAGGTTATGTAAGGTTAAGGACAAGTTAGTTTAGTTTGAGGATGGGTTAGGTTATTTTGTGTTGACAGGTTAGATTTTGCTGAGTTGGATTATGTTAGGTTAGATTATGTAGGGTTAAGAAGGAGTTTGGTTAACTTGAGTTGGGATATGGACGGGTTAGTTTACTGTTGGGTTTGGTTAAGGTTAAGGACAGGCTTTATAGTTTAGTACGGTTGAGGATGGATTACGTTAGGTTTGTTTAAGTTGAATTATGTAGGATCAGGCTTAAGGTGGCCAATGAGCTAGATTAGTTTAATTAGGATTAGGGTTAAGGACAGATTAGGTTACATATCCATGACTCATGTTTTCCATGAAGTGGAGTCAATATAGTATCATTAGTTGGTAATGATAAAATGGTTGGAGAACATCAAATTTCCCAATATAAATTTATACATTTCATCTTCATTGTCTTATTTTTTAAATTAAGGTATAATTCAACTTTTGATAGTTGCAAAATTACCTCATCATCTGAGTAAAGTCCATTATGCAAGGGATCAACAATGCTGGTTATGATACTCGAGAGAAGTCTAAAGTTCAGTGGTTGATTTACATGGAGACGTATGTATTCGACCCACTGCGCCATTCTTTCATCTGCTGGTCGTAAACCACTTTGTGCTGCATGCTGCCTTAAAATGACATCTGCCGGTCCGGTGAACGTGCCATCCCAAGTTTCCAAATCAGGCTAGAATTAGATTTGTAAAATAATTATTCTATTTCTATCACAGAGAAAAGATCTTTTACTTTATTGTGTTCCATCTCTTGTAGAACTAAAAGCCTCATCAAATGTCTATGCTCTTGTGCAGCTACTTGGTTGTTTTTCTCTGAACTGAAAGCAAGCTTCAGCTGGACAGCTCCGCGGCTCGACTTGGTTCGTGAGGTTTTCTTTTCTAAATTGTACCATTTAACGTGCCCAGAGGAAGGAATGGACTGAAAACAATTCAGATTGAAATATTTTAAAGTTGTAAATGCTTTTAAAAAAATTTATACCTTCAAAGGGATATTGACAAATCCAATGATTTCATTGTCGTGCTTTCCTGTTGAAGCAGTCACAGCAATCTCTTTCATCAATTTGCGTAAACCTTTTACACCCTTAACACCAGTTATTTTGCTCATTTTTTCTCTAACCGTTTCAGCTGGATCAAAGTCCCTAAAAGTAGTTTAATTGTAATCTCGAATTTCAGCATAATTGTATAAGTATAGGATAATTACCAGACTTCTATTGCCAATGTATCATCTGAAGTGTCCTCTGCTGGTCTGAAAAGTTTTTATTTTTTTCAAATTTAACTAAGTCCAACAAAAGTTACATGATTCCAACTTACAAAGAAAAATATTCCTCCCATGATGGTGAAAGGGTTTCAGATTTAACTGAAGTGTTGTACCTGTGCGATGCATTCTTTGTAAGGTACAAAGTTACAAATGGATCACTTAAACCTGAAACAAATATTTCTATTATTCAAAGCTTAAGACTGAAAGTAGAAAGAAAAAACAAAAACAATCCATAAACGAATATGAAACCTATTGAATCGAGAAACATTGCTTTAACTTGTTTAAGTTAGTAACATTACTGCCATGTCAAGGAGGCAACACTGCCAGTTACAATAACAGAGGTGTAAGTTGGTAACATTGTTAAGGAGGCAACTAATTGCCAGGTAATTGTTTATACATGCAGAGATGCAATCATTATTTCATAAAAAGATAGCAGTTCTGATTAAAGTAGTGATTATTTTTATTTAAAACAATTTCTAACCAATTACCATTTGCATCTTTTGGATACAAGTCTTTCGCCTTGATCACCTCAACGTTTAAAAGTATGTTTGGAGCCTAAAACAAAGGTTAGTCAACTTAGATATTGTTTTGAAATCACTTTAAATAATAGGATTGTATGAGGACTTACTTCTTTTTCTTTGGCGACCCTCATCGCTTCCGCGTGCTTTTCTTCATCCATCTTGAACGCATCTTTCAAATATGAAAATAAAGTCTCATTGTCATAATCAGAATCACAGCCAACGGTATGTAATATCTCATACAAAACCTCTTCATACAATTCGTCTATCTGTAAAGTGTAGAATTATTTTTGATGAATAGCCGAATCTTGAAAAACTAAATATTTCTTACAAAAATAGACGTAATTAGAACAGCATCATGGAAAGACTTGAAGATGATGCATATGTTAACATTCAGAACATATTGCTTATACAATAATTATACCATTGCCAGCTAACAAGACCCAGATTTCAGCACAAAACTAATTTGCAACTAAGGATAATATATAAATTTTGATCTTTTAATTTTGGTTTAACTTTTTTTTTTTTTTAATTATAAAAGGCGATCAACCGCTTTGGGTCATTTTCCGCCNGTTTGCCATAACTGCCAAGACTTTCTTTTATGCCAAGCTGTCACATCGGATTTTGGTGTTTTTGTAATTTTAACTCCATTAAGGACGGCCTGCTTTGCCAAATGGTCCACCTTCTCATTGCCAAATATTCCGTAGTGTCCAGGAATCCACATGAATACTACTCTATTTCCCTGATTTTGCAGAGATTCAATGGTAAATAGGATGTCTTGTATCAATGGATGTACAGAAAAGTTGTTTTTAAGTGCCAATAGCGTCGACAAAGAGTCAGTACAGATGACAGTCGTTTCCTGGGTGGGGCTAATGTAGTTAAGCACTTTGCTATTGCTATAATCTCAGCAGTGTAGCTGCAACATATAGGTGGTAGGGTAAACATATATTGTGCATTATTATTGTAAGTGAAAAAAGCAGCACCTGTCCCTACATCATTTTTTAAGCCATCTGTAAAACGTAGTGCGGGATTCGAAAAGATATCTATTATTTTATAAAATTCTTGACTGTACATGTAGGGGGGAGTACTCTGCTTAGAAAATTTAGTAAGGTCAATGCATAGATTGGGCTTTGGAAGCAGCCAGGGAGGTTTAGATGAAATTCCAATTTTATAGAGAGGGGGGATCGCAGCATTTATTAATTGTAAATGAGCGGCCACTCTAGATGGAAAATGCTTTCTTTGACAACGTAGGGTATCTTCAAACGGAATAGAGTTTCCACTTGGAAAGGGCATGAGAGAATTTTAACTGCAAAGTTCAAATCAAGTCTTAATCTCCGATGTTTGAAGGGCAATTCTCCGGCTTCAGCATGCACACTAATAGATGGACTAGATCTAAATGCACCTATGGCTAGACGCAAACCTGTGTTTTGTATCGGTTCAATCATGGACTATGTTCTGTCACTAGCAGAGCCGTATGCACAACTTCCATAGTCCAGTTTAGAGCGAAGAGACATCGGTAGATTTTTAGCATGCTAGCTCTATCAGCACCCCCACTAATAATTCGGAGAAAATTGATAGAATTCGAGCATTGTGCTTTCAGTGTTTTCAAATGTTTAGACCAATTAAGAGTACGATCGAAGATTACTCTTAAATATCGGACAGAATCAGCAAAGTCTACAGTTGTGCCATGAATTTTAAGTGACATATTAGTATGAGGCCTTCTCTTTGCAAAAAAGACTGCTTTAGTTTTTGACAATGAAATCCTGAAACCATTTTTGGTTGGTTGGTTCTTTGGTTAGCCAATCGGAAGCAATATTAAGAGCTTCTTGAATATTTTCTTTCACTATACTTAGATTTTTCCCTTTAGATAGATAACAATGGGTTTAACACTAAATTATCCTGCAAATACCTGTATATCGATTCATTATTTATTAAATATCTAGGTTCACTTTCCACGAATTATCACAAATCCTGTCACATTTTCATAAAATCCTACATTTATTTTCGAATGATGATGTTACAAATTGAGAAGAACATCCTTAGACATATACTCAGGTAGGGAAAGATCCCATTCAGAACAAAAAAAATGCTGTTGAACGAAACGAATTTCGTTCGTTCCTCACTGAAGATGGCGTGATGTCAAACGCATGTGTAAACCGGCCAATAGACGACGTAGCGAAATTCTCAAGATCGATCAATTAAGTGTAATTATATGCTGAAAGAGAAGAAATGTTCGATTTGACTTGTCGATATAAAAAATCTTGAAATAAATCTAAGCATCCTCCATCACTGACCAAATCTTTGGACGGTACATTTGGCTGTATCTTTAAAACAGTGCGTTGTAGTATTGAGGTTATGTACATATTGGTTCGCCAGTTTCGACTTATTCAGGTATGTCTGGAAAGATGGACGAAAGGAGGCAATATCTGCACAAGGTTTTCTGCTGCTCTGAGTCGATAATAGTCTTAACAAAAGCTTATTGATCTGGTACAAATCCTTAAACTTAACTACTCTAGACAATTATGGAAAATAAACAATAGACCAATATTGGTCGCCGTGCGCGTGGTCGTAAATAGGCCGACTCCTGATAACATAGTCAAACTCCTCACATATGCAAACGATGCCGCAATCCTTAAGTATGTGATGTTGGTAACTATTGCTATTGTCAGGGTGGTGACTATGCTGGTTACTATAACACTGCTTATCGTTAAATTATGCCCAACTATCTTAGAAATTAAATTTCAAGATCGCGACAAATCCCAGTTTGAAATCCAAAGAATTTCTTCTGAAAATTTATTTACTACCAGAAAATAAGAAAGATATAAAATTTCGTCTATATTATATAGTAAGTTGCTTCAACGTGGAATTATGTAGGTCACAATAACAGGTATAAGATGGTACCATTGCTACCTCCTCATGCAAGCAATTACGCAGCTTAGTATAACAGTACTTAAGATAATTTCACATTACATGATCTTAGAAATTAATATACAAGTTCCTCACAAATCCCAACGTTCTGATCCAATGGTATAATAATTATTATTACCTTATACAATACTCCATTGATTATCTTACAACAATATTTCGTCCGTTTTAAAGGGTTAGATGTAATTAAAGCACAGATAAAATCTCCCTATCTGTGTTTACAACTGGATTTTGTAAACAAATCTTTGAATAGTCAGTCAATCTCTTTTTTGTTGGTTTTTCTATAAAACTTCTTTCTAACATTCCAGTGGTTTGACTTTTTAAAGTAGTACCATTTTTAAGTTTTAAATTTGTTTGAGGGATGGTTTTAAGTGATATAGATTCGGCTAGGATCTATCATTGTTGGAAGATGGAAAAAGTCAAGCTTACGTGGCCAATGTGTCAAATTTTCCAGAACAACTACTTGAAGGGTCATCACTACCAAAATACTGCAGATTACTCAAGAAGGGATGGATCAGGTTGTCATCGTGTCATATCTCAGAGAGATGGTCGTTTTATAGTTTCGAACGTACTTCGTAATCGACATTCTACCGCTGTTGAGATCAAACAACGACTTCAACAAGTTAGTAATGTTAACGTCAGTTTACGCACTGTAAGGCGAAGACTTTCAGAAAGCTGGATTACGTGCGAGAAGACCTGCCACTGGTCCAGAACTTCCGATAAGGCACAGAACAGCTCGGTTAATTTTCGCAAGAAACCACATCAATTGGTCTAGAAGATTGGACTAAAATATTGTTTTTGGATGAATCAAGGATTTGTTTGAGGTCTTCTGACGTCCTAGAGAGGGTTTAGAGAAGAACAGGAAAGCGATATATCCTGTAACATTTTCACTCCAGAGAAGCTATGGAGGTGGTAGTGTTAAGGTTTGGTCATTTCTATGAAAAGGTCGCACAAACTTGATCTTCGTCGTTCCGTACATCTTCTGTAGAGGGTTCCCTAACAGCTGGGCGATACAATGAAGATGTGTTATCTGAAGAAAAGGTTCCTTATATGTCATTAATTGGCGACGGTTTTTAATTTTTATGAATGACAATGCAAACCCCGCACAGCTAGGATCGTTCGTGACTAGTTGGAACGGGCTTTAATTCAATGTCTGGAGTGCATGTAGTCGATCGAACACCTTTGGGACGAGTTGACAGAAAGGGAAAAAAGTCGCCTTGTGATGCCAGAAAAGTTGGAGGGATTGAGAATGGCGCTGTTTGAGGAGTATGAAAATATAACACTGCATAACATTTAAAATCTCATCAAATCGATGCCACGTCGAATGCAAGCCGTGATCAACGCAACAGGAGGAAATAATCCATACTGAATGATTGGTTCTTCGTTGTTTCCATTTTTTTAAAATATACAGTAAACAAAAAAATATAGCGATTGCAATTCTTTACGTAACAAAACGAGAGTGGCCACTTTTTTGTCTCTAAGTGTAGTTTGTTGGTAACGTTGGTACCATCTCAGGGAGGCAACACTGTTACTATAACACTACTTAAGGTTAAAATTACTCAACAATTAACCTAACCTAATCTATTTGGTAAGAAGAAACCCCCCAAAATTAAAATTATAACTTATTCCCGTTAACTTGTACTGAAGGATAAAAGGACAAAACGAGTTACTTTCTGACGTAATCCCACAGTGCATAATGATTTTAAAGATTTTAAGAAATAAATTTTATTAATATTGTTTAATTTGAATGTGGAAAGGAAAAAATGAAACCAACAACTCGAGAAAGCTATTTTTACCTAGTTGCTATTTTTATAAAAAATTTACCGAGAGATTTTTTTTTCAGAGTTTGAAATAAGTTGCCTTTTTGATTTATGCTGTTTGACTTACAGTCATGGTTTCCAATAAAAGTGTCGTCTGCCTTTGAAGTTCATCCTTTTTAACGCCTCTGAACTTGGGCAGCTTGCTCAACGACTTCCTTCTTTCCATCATTTTGCCGGTTTACAGTTTTTTATTTTCCAAGGCTCGACTTGTCAAATAGTTCAGACAACTTCAAGAACTGAATCGCCGGCTGATTTCATTTCAAAACGGACCGCCGCGACACTTTCAAACGGAAAGTGCTGTAAACCGAGAACATTTACAGCATTTATGTTTAATTGGGTGTAATTAAAATCACAGCCGAACTACTCGTAGACTGATTTGAACCAAATGCATTTGGGATATGGCGAGAAGAGAAGCATGCGCCTTCCCAATCTTAGTAAACATTTCAGTCCTTGAACTCCTTTGAGTTTATTATTGGCGGATATTTTTTTGGCAGATTTGGTCACTTTACATTTAAGTATTCACGTAGTTGAGCTTTGCGCTTGCAGAACAAATAGAGATAATTCATTTGGTAAAGCCGATTTTTTTTAAATATTCCATAAACCTCCCTTGAAAAAAAAGTTCGTCATTAATTTAATTCAAATTCCATCAGCTTACGAAAATCTTCACTCAAAATGAATTTCAAACTAATTGCACATTCAACCTGGGTTAATTTGTACCAAGTACAATGGCATTGAAATTGTGGTAGGTTCAGTTATTTTTAACCTTTTACATGTCTCACCCACGCCAAGTGGTTGGCTAAAATAACAAAGTGGTACAGGGCCAATGTGTCAATTATGGATTTTCGATTTTCTACTTGAAAATGTTTTTATTTGGACGCACCAAGTTGCAATTTGATTTTAAAAAAACCGTGGCCGCATGGTGACTCTTGTGATATTTTCGGCTCCAGAAGAATACGGAATCTTAAATTAGCACGGAGTTCTTATTTAAACAGGGAGTCACGATCTACAATGACGTTTGGTGAAAATTTTGGAACGCAAAGAAGTAGTAACATGAAACCGATGTGACTCCGCCGAAAAGAAAAACATCCTTTGGGAAAAAACTATACACTTGCCAGTTCTTCAGTTAGTTTTGTCGAGATTTCACTGGCTGGTACTCAAGAAATGAAAGACTGTCCAACTAAATTCGACAAACGCATCATGTTTATCCGATCTTGTCATAGAATCCTGATTTAAGTACGTTTATCAATATGTAAGGGTAGGTAACATGGCTACCACCTCAGACAGGCAGCACTGCTGGTTACAATAGCAGAGGTATAAGTTGCTAAAATTGTTACCACATCGGACAGGCAGCACAGCTAGTTACAACAACAGTGGTATAAGTTGGTAACATTACTACAACGTCAAGGAAAAACACTGCTAGTTAAAATAACAGAGGTGTCAGTTCATAGAATTGCAACACTGTTAGTTGCTAGTTACGTTCAACATAAATTCGAAAAACGATGTTAATTACTAGTTCCTTTCAACACAAATTCAAAAACGATGTTAGTTGCTAATTCCGTACAACACAAATTCAAAAAACGAATCATGCTTATTCGATCTTGTCATAGACGCCTGATTTACCTGGTTTATCAATATGTAAGGGTAGTAACATGGCTAACACCTCAGACAAGCAGCACTGCTGGTTGCAATAACGGAGGTAGGTATAAGTTAGTAACATTACTACAACGTCAAGGACGAACACTGCTATTTAAAATAACAGAGGTGTAAGTTGGTGTCATTGCAACACTGTAGGTCCCGTTCAACATAAATTTGAAAAACAAATCGTTCTTATTCGATCTTGTCATAACATGTAAAGTTTGTAACATTGCTACCACCTCAGACAGTCAACACTGTTGGATATGTGTAGTATTCACAAGGCCTGAAGATGATCTCAATAAAGATCGAAACGTTGGCATGATAAAGAAAATATTTGTCTAAACCTACATCACACAAAACCGATTCTCACAATCTGTAAATAATCACTGCTGGATATTATAACACTAAATAAGGTTTAATGTACCCCGCTCAGTAGATCAAGTCACCTCGTTAGTCTGACGTGTAATTCTTGTTTATTAAGTGTTGATATTATTTATGTTCAATTACGGTGTTGTTTGTTATTAAATTGTTATTAGAAAGGATGAAATTTCTTTAAACTATCTTAGATTTGAAATTTCACATTCAGCTAAATTCTATATCAGCAGACACCTGGAAATGAACAATTAGACTCATTGAGACATAACGTTTACCAAATGGACATTATGCAACACTGACCATTAAGAATTGAAAAACGAGGGTAAGAAGACTAAGAAAAATTACATAAAAACGTTTTCAAACATATTTTCTCTATGGAACCCCATTTTTATTAAATTACTTTACGAATGCTATAAATGACTTACTACTAATACTACCTAGTACTATTATCACTAATTTTAGTGACTTCATTCTAGCTGAAACGAGAGGTATGTCCTCCAGGGATGATCTTTAAGATATAAAACCTTCCAGTTTGGACATGTTGAGTCAAGACACCTTTCGACTTTTACAAAGCCTCAGTAAGGTCATATTTCAAGTAATTATTTAAGGTAAAAAATTCTTAATTTAAAATCATTCCATAAAATTATAATTATTAAGTAAACTCTCGGAAGGTTCTCACTTTTCTGACGGTATTATTCTTATTTTGAATTACAATAGAAAGTTTTTCCTGTCGACCTTTTGAGGTGATTCGACGACGAAGCCGGTTTTTAATTTAACGACGGGCCTTTTTTCTAGCAATAAATTGTATATTTGCAAATCAAATTCAATTCAGAGAATCTTCCCGATAAAAAACCCTAAAAATAATATTTCCAGGATGCAACTTTTCGCAAGACTCAACTCTCAAAATAACATGGCCTGGTTTTTGCCAGAATCTTTCCAGTTGCAATAAAACCTATCTTTGGTTAGAAAACTATCTAGGGGGGTAATAGAGCACCTAGATATATTTAAAAAGACTATACCACTATAACAATATATGCTCAAGACGGTCTGGGTAAATAAGTAGAGAAAAATAACCTCTTGCTAGTTCAAGATGTCATGTGTGACTTACCTTACTATTTTACTTTAGTACGTTAATTGAAGAAAAATCTCAAGATGAAAATATCCAAGGAAAACTATGATTTTCTTTTTAAAACGTTCAACTAATTTATTATATTGTGTTAAATAATTAATAAAAAGGCTTACGTTCAGACCGATGACGTCGGATATGATAGCTCCTGTCTCTTCTTCTTCGATCTCTTTGTCCGACTCCTCTTCTTCTTCTGCTGTCGTTTCTTCGATCTTCTCCCCTTTATCATCTTGGTCATTCAAAAGTGTGCCAAACTTCTCAAAAAAACCATTGTCCAATTCTTGGATCCTAATAAACCAAAAATATAAGTAGATTATTAATATATAAGTTAAACATTTAAAAACTTAAAAATATAGTGAAAGCTGAATAGTTCTGTTTCTTTGTCATTGTTCCTCCGAACCATATTGATCATGGTATAGAATAACCAAGTGGAGGTTACAATTATGTTATATCTTTACAAATTCAATCTATTTGTAACACTTCCAACTGGATATTCTATACGCTAGAACTGGATAACCAACTGGAGGTTACGATTCAGAAGGCTATAGATAACGTTTCACTATAAATTTAGAAATTTACTGTGTTTGAAACCTTACAACTGGTTATCGCTCCATCCATCAACTCGGAAATTCACCATGTTTCAAATTCCCCCAAGTGGTAATTCTACATTACGTAATTTGATAACCAGTCGGAGGTTATAATTCCGATATACAAGGCTGTAAGTCTCGATTCACGTTCGACTAAGAATTTCCCTATGTTTCAAACCCTCCAAGTTGGTTATCCTATATGACACCAAGATCACCAAATGGAGGTTACAATTCCGAAATAGAAGGTTGTAGATCTCGTTCCACCACCAACTCGGAAATTCACCATATTTGAAACTCTCCTATGTGGTAATCCTACATTACGTAATAGGATAACCAGTTGGAGGTTATAATTCCGATATACAAGGCTGTAGATCTCGTTTCAACATAAACTTGGAAATTTACTACAGGAAACAACTACAGCTGGTTCTCGTTCCATCTTTCAACTCGGCAATTCACCATGTTTGCAATTCCAAAAGTGATTATCCTAAATCACGGAATAGGGTAACCAACTGATGGTTTCAGCTGATCTGCAGCGTTATATCGAAATTGTAACCTCCAACTGGTTATCTATTCCGTGATATAAGGTAAAATAATTTTCGTATTATCTGAGGTTTTCATACTATCTCGCTCAATTTAAAAATTTACATTTCTGTTTATGATTTTTGAACTGGCGCATGAACAATCTTATCACTAGTTTAACTTGAGAAATGTTAGCCACACCTGACATTTGAAATGTCACGGAGTTTAGCCTTTAATATATTCCCAGTTGTCCTTTGAAGCCCGGTCTTTTGACTTTATTAATGCAATATACAGTATCTTTTAATTATGTACAAAATATAATATAATGAGTCGATACAGGCAACCTATTGCTCATTTTGTAAAAGGTTTAAACTTTCATCCAATATAATCTAGTAAGTTTACCAACTGCTGGTTATTACATAGTTGATCAAGTCAATTTATTGTGTTATTAATTGCTTATTGTTTGTATTATTGTTATGAAATATCAATCGCGTTAACCAATTTTAAAAAAGACGTTTTATTTGATAATGTTCTTGTTTAGTATTACTTCTGCTTTTGGTGGTATGCACAAGCATATTGCATGCCTATCAGAGTAGAAACGATTTTATCTGATCCCTCTCTAAAGTTATTCAACTTGAACACTTCCAGGCTTCCTGGTTGTAGTGGCATACGTTCCAGCCGATTACAAGGGGACAACCAGGTTGATGGGTTACGGATTTGGATCAAACATTTTGGTGATTTTACACTCCGAAATATCGGACATGTATCCGCCAATTCTTGTGAATAGGCCCCGGTTTCGCCAAAAACAATTTTGAAAGTTGAAATTTTTCGTATTTTAATATTTTTATTTTGCCGTTCCACTTGTTCAAATCAACTTTGGAATGTATCATTTTTTATGTAGATTGCAATTAAAATATAGTAACAGTTATCAAAGTTTTTCAATAACGAAAATATTTCTAAAAAACATTTTTCAAGTAAAATAGGTCATAATTTTATTTTTAATTAATATGAAATTCTAGTGTTATAAAAACCTTAGATAGACTTTCGCGAAAATCGGTGTAAATTGATTTTTTGACTGATAATTTTGGCGATCTTTCTAGGGATGGACATGACTAGTGCTAGCTCTAACATCATTTTTCTCAAAAGCTAGAGGACCTATTCATGGTTGATAATTCGTTTTAAAGAAATTGTCAAGCGCATTTTATCACTGTGAAACATTAAAATCCGACTATTATTTCCATTTAAAAAAAACGAGGTTAATTTTCATAAATAATTTCGCTATTTTGAGTATTTTTTAAAGAAATCTTTTGTATTTTTAAATAGTACATACGTCATTAAAAAACTACGTTCTTCTTCTTTCAAATGGTCTGTTTGACGTTCCTAAATCCATTTAGCCGTTTTTAAATTATAGCCGTTTCAATCCGATATTCCGGTAACGACTCCTCAAAAATTCGAAAAAAATTTAGGGGTCAAAAAATCGATCAATTTAAATTCAAACAAAAATTTATATTTAGGGGTCTCCAGAGGTACAGAAACGAAATTTCATATTATTTTCACGAAAAACAATTTATGACTTAGTTTACTTGAAAAGTTTTGTTTTATTAGAATTTTTTTGGTTATTGATAAACTTTGATAGCTTTTACTAAATTTTTATTGCAATCTACATAAAAATGATGTAAAATGACATATTTACGTAGTGATTTGAGCAAGTGGAACGGCGAAATAAAAATATTAAAAAACGGGAAATGTCAACTTTCAAAAAAAAATTTGCGAAACCGTGGCCTGTTCGTAATAAGTGGCGGATACATGTCCGATATTTTGGAGTTTAGAATAATAAAAAAAATAAAATCCGTGACCCACGTCGTTTGTAATTTTTTTTTTTTTTTTTGGTCAATTTGCAGTTGTACAAGAGGCATCTGTACCAGCGGGTGTGGCACATCCGTTTAGCCAAAATCACATCTCCGAACGCTTTTTAAAGGCACATTGACTATTATAGACTTATCATACCTCTTTAGCTTGTTTTTACTAATCTGCAGACAACTTAGCTAACTTGATTAAGTCATTTTGTGCTATACATTCTGAAACGATCAACCTTAGCAGTTAGTTCAGCAGACTGATGAAAGTAAAGAATATTAGTGTAACGATTTGAATATATCCAAATAATAGAAGCGGAACAGAAATAAATAAAAGGCCTACTGATTCAATTTGAACCGGTTGATACATACGCGGAATGACTTTGTGACGATCCATGAATGTAGAAACCACCCTTAAAAGCCCGAGAAATTGCACAAGAAACGCCTTTGGCCGGCTTCAGAACCCACCGGAGCGACATATCCCGCAAGACCACACGACTGGCAAATGACGGTCAGAAAATAAAAAGATTACATTAAAAAAAAAATTGTTTAGACACCGAGATAAAATGACTTTATAACCGACTTCCTTTCTGCCTTGCTAAGAAGAAATGCTGTACCTACTTTTTGATAGTTTTGTGATATCGACCTTTGAAGATTTTCATGTTGAATGCCCTCAGTTAAGTTGACATAGTTTTTAAAGTGTTTGGCCTAGGTCTCTAGCTTCACTGTATTTATAATCCTCAATTCTTTTTTATTATTATTATAATTTATAACTTATTTACCAATTCACTCTTATTTTTATGCGTTTTTTTAATCAAAAAAGGTTGTTACGTTAAACTTAACTAGCGAAGAGCTGTGATAACTACTAACGAAAAAGAACGTATCTGAAAAGAAAGTGATTTTTACAAATATATATTTTTTTATTATAATTTCTTTTGTAATGCAATAGTAACATAATGAATCAAATACACTGACAGGTGAAAAATTCCATCCAATTGATTTTTTTTCATTTTCTCGATAAAAGAAAATTCTGCCCTTAATTTGTTTAATTGTTTTTACCAATAAATATTTGTTTATGCTATGTTTTAAATTGGGAATATCAATTAGAGGTAAATACACGTATTCCTTTATCTTTGGATTTCGGAGTCGATGTCGGACCACAGAATAATAAGGTTCGACATCGAATCAGATAGGATAGACCCTACACCGTTCAGAAACCCCCGGAACACAAACTGGGCAAGGTTCACTGAGATGGTAACACACAGTTTAAACCATGCATCAGTGAAAAGAGTACCAAAAACCTGCAATGAGTTAGAACTTGCAGTCAGAGAACTTACAGGAAATATGATTGACGCATATGAAACAAGCTGCCCTGTAAAGGTCCCAAAAAATAAACAAGAACCACCTTGGTGGAATGCAGAACTGGGCTTATTAAGAAAAGAAACCAGGAAAGCGTTTAATAAGGCCAGACTAGGAAGTAACTGGGGAGAATACAAAAGGTTACTTACTTCATATAACCATGCCATCCGCAAGGCGAAAAGAGAGACTTTTCGCAAATTCTGCGGAGAAATCTCCACAGTATCCACAGCAGCTAGATTACACAAGATACTAGCAAAGGACAGATCAGACATAAACACTGCTCTAAGAAATATAGAAGGAAAATACACAGCAGACATGCAACAAAAAGCAATGCTCCTTCTAAGTACACATTTTCCAGGCAGTACCTACAACATCTCCCCAGAAAATGTGAGAGCAGATAATCCCAAGAAAGAGAATTGGAAGAAAGCAGCTGAAATAATCACAGAGAAGAAAATCCTCTGGGCGATTAACACTTTCAGCCCGTACGAAGCACCAGGAACGGATGGAATCTTTCCCATCCTGTTACAAAAAGGAATGGATTTAATCACTCCAACACTGCTACGTATATATAGAAGCAGTTTAGCACTAGGTTATATACCACAGACATGGCGTAGGGCAAGGGTGGTGTTTATACCAAAAGCGGGGAAAAGAGACCCCACATCCCCCAAATCCTACAGACCAATCAGCCTAACATCCTTTTTATTAAAGACCCTCGAAAAGCTGATAGACAACTATATAAGAACGACAGCACTCGTAAACAAACCTCTCCATTACTGTCAGCATGCATACAGAGCAGGAAGATCAACAGAAACTGCACTGTACCAACTAACCAGTGACCTAAAAGAAACACTGGGAACAAAGGAAATAGCAATCTGCGCGTTCCTTGATATTGAGGGAGCTTTCGACAATGCATCTCATGCATCAATGGAAGTCTCCCTGAGGAAAAAACACGTAGACCAAACCACATCTA